ATAAGCAATGACTTACCTTCCTACTTCTCCTTTCTGTGAAATAGAGGGAGAAGCACGACTTGGTTGAGGGACTTTGAGTCATCTGGACAATTGTGGGCAGGGCAGAGCCTGTGTGCCCTCACAGCTCCTCTGCAGTTGCTCCTCCCACGGATGCCTGGTCCCTAGTGTGTGGCTGACGCTGGGCCCTGGCAGGCAGGCGGGGGTGCCACCCTCTCTCGCCTGTGAGCTGCCTAGAGAGGGCCCTGGACGTGGCAGCAGCCTGTCATTTTCCCCGAGTTCATGCACAATCGGTAAACACATCAGGATTTGAAAACCAGCAGCCCTTCCGCTTGTCCAGCTACTTCCCAAAGAAAGCCTCCTGCCCGTGCTCTCACAGTTAACACCTGAGCAGGCCAGACCACAGCCACGGACAGCCTTCCTGGCTGCCTCATACCAGAGCTGGCTGTCATCCCACAGCAAGAACCTGCACCAGTACAGGAAGCGCCAGCAGTGAATTCTCACGAGGCCTTCGGAAAGTTCCTGAGAAATGTGACTGTTTTCCATGAACGAACGTTGTCTGGTCTAGGAAGGATCGAAAGGAGGGGCATGGGCCAACTGCCCACCTAGTGTGGGGTGGAAGCTCTGGGACTGCAGGCCGTGAGGACACAGGGCTGGAGGCTTCCTCAGTCAACAGCAGGTGTTTTGTAGACGTGGTGTAAGCCAATATTTACAGCCAGCTAGAAGTGCAGTCCCTCACGTGGCCCCTTGCTCCAGAGCCCAGGGAGACGGCAGGAAGCCGGATGGAAAAGATAGAAGCTGCGGCAAGCCCGTCCCCGTCAGTGGTGAGGGTCCAGAAGTTCCTCGGAAGGGAGACGTTTCCCTCTGGCATTCGGCACCCTCAGAGGTTAGAAGCTGGCAACCAGGGTGTCCACTCCAGGGAAGCTTGCTGTGGTCCACAGACTGTGATCCAGTGTCATTGATGCGTACTTGGCATGTGACGAGCGGCACACGTTCCCCAAGTCTGCCGAGCTCCATCCTGACACAGATACACATCACTCCTCGTCAAGTGCTCCCTCCTGCTGCTTTGCCCAGCAACCATTCCTCCATTCCCCGCCCCTGGGATGCCCCACATCTCCATGTGGAATCCTTCAGCTGTGGTTGAGCATGCTGTGGGCCCTCACAGCTCCTCCCATGGATGCCCAGTCCCTGGTGTGTGGCTGACGCTGGGCCCTGGCAGGAGGGAGTGCCACCCTCTCATGCTGTTGCATGCAGAGTTAATTGTTTCATAAGTGGCATTTCGCTGTGCTTAGTTTTTCTGTTTACCTGTTGTACTCCTGGGTTACGCCCAGCATGGGGCTGTTACAGTTGAGCCTGCTGAGAGCACCGGTCTGTGTATCTTCATGTGAATGCATGCTCCCATCTCCTAGACAAACACATGGCAGAGAAGTGCCTGTGTCTCTGTGGCCACACGCTCCTTTCCAATGACTTCCAAACTATCTTCCAGGCACCATCATCACATGTTCCCAAGAGAACTAGCCGGAGTATCTACTTCCGTAGGGCCTCCCCAGCGCTCAGCAGCCCCAGCTCTCCAGTGCTCACCACCCTAAGAGGTGTGCATGCCATTTTTGTGTCTTCAAGTTGCATGACCATCAAGCCTCAGAGATTTGAACATCTCCTCATTGCTTATTGTGAATCGACACATTTGCCTTTTGTGAAATATATTCCCTTTTGTTTACACTGTTATCAGGTGGTTTTTTTGCTTATTAATGAGCTTTAAGAAATGTTCCTGTGTATCTATATAGAACTTATAATTCATATATTACATGTAATATAAATCATGCATCTGATACACCCATTGCCAAATATTTCTCACTCTCTGGCTTCTCTCATCATCTTCCAGTCTTCTGTTTGGAAGACTTTTTGAAATTTTTGATAGTATGTATAGAATCTGTAGTTATGTGACCACTCTCATTCTTAATACCAACCAATAATTCGTATCTCTTCTCTCTTGTTCTGCTTCATCTCTTTGGAAGCTCAAAGAACCAGTGTCAGGTTGCACTGACGACTTCAAAGTGTGTGTTTTCTCCTCCCAAGCTCTTCATGGCTTCCTCAGGTTAGCATTCTCCAGTTCCTCAAGGGGAGGGTTGTTGGCCTCACCTGGGTCCTTCTTCATGCACTTCTCTGGGGCAGTGCACTTCCCACAGGACAGCGCCCAGTCCACACGGTGCCAGCAGTGCAGAGACAGCATGCAGTCCACGTGTGGCAGTGCACTCACTCATGCCATGTCCAGTCCACATGTGGCAGTGCACTTCCCACAGGACAGCGCCCAGTCCACACGGTGCCAGCAGTGCACTGAGACAGCATGCAGTCCACGTGTGGCAGTGCACTCACTCATGCCATGTCCAGTCCACGTGTGGCAGTGCACTTCCCACAGGACAGCGCCCAGTCCACACGGTGCCAGTGGTGCATGGTGCACTCCCTCAGATAGCGTCCAGTCCACATGTGGCAATGTACTCCCTCAGACAGTGCCCAGTCCATGGTGAGGGCAGCACACTCCCTCAGACAGTGCCCAGTCCATGGTGAGGGCAGTACTCTCCCTCAGACAGTGCCCAGTCCACGGTGTGGGCAGCACATTCCCTCAGACAGTGCCCAGTCCATAGTACAGAGAACGGGAAGCCAACCACCCTGCCCTCGAGGAGGGAGGAAGCTACCCTGATGAAGCCATGAAGAGCACGGGATGAAGAGCCCTGGTGAGCCTCTTGAACCATCTGACTTGGTATTTGATTCTTGGGTTCTTTAGATGATCAGTTGCCCTGGCTGCTTTATCAGAACAACCTGAGCCTGTGACTGACCGGCTGACCACTGAGCACTGTGGGAAAGCCCACACCCTCATACTCTGTTTCATGCCAAAAAGTACTTACGCCTCACATGACATCACCTGTGTGAGGGAAGCCAGAGCGATTTTCATATACAGATTTCAGTCCCATCCAAGATATCTCAGTACATATTTCAAAATCTGAAGAAAGCCCAGTCTCAGAAGCTGCAAGCATGCCCAGTGAGAGGACGCGGGGCAGGCTGAGCAAGGCTGACTCAGGTGGACCCGGCTGTGCTCTTGCCTCTGACATTGCTGCTGCCCTTCTGTGTGTCTTCCTCAGCTGGAGCTACAGAGAGCAGAGAAGTTCCGACTCAGCCCCGGCCATTGCAGCCCTCTGGGGAGCGGCCACTGCGTGGGAAAGATCAGTCTGTCTTTTCGTCTCTCTTTCCCACTCTTTCTCCCTCCCTCTCTGTAAGTTTGCCTCTAAAATAAATAGCTAGGCCCAGCGTGATAGGCTGGTGGCTTGCATGCCCCAGGGTCCCGTAAGGGCATTGGTTTATCCCAGCTGCTCCACTTCTCATCCAGCTCTCTGCCTGTGGCCAGAAAGCAGAAGAGGACAGCCCAAACCTCGGGACCCTGCAGTCATGTGGGAAACCTGGAAGAAGCCCCTAGTTCCTGGCTTAGGATAGGCTCAGCTCCAGCCATTGTGGCCACTGAAGGAGTGAGCCAGCGGATGGAAGATCTTTCTTTCTGTATCTCCCTCTCTCTGTATATCTGCCTTTCCAATAAAAATAAATGAATCTTAAAAAGAAAATAGAATTATAGTTTCACTGTTCTCTCTAGAACCTGCCCCGTTCCAGCTTTTCCTGGCAACAGTGAATGGCATTAGAAGATAGAACACCATAGGCCCCGTTGCATCTGCAGGTCTCAGCTTTCATTTTGCATTACCAAGAAACGGAGATGTCCCTGTCTGGAGGAGCACCCGGAGTGCACAGGTGGGAGGGGCACCTGCGGAAGCCCCGGGCCACAGCAGCTCTGACTCGGCACGTGGCATTAGCTGCTCCCGTTACTATCTACTGTCGGCATGTGCAGTGTTGCCCTTCCAGCAGAGAAGTTCTGCTGCAGGGAGAGGGGGCCGGGTGAGCATGCAGAGGGCCAGAGGTCCCTTTCTGGAGGTGTGTCCTCTGGATGAAGCCTGGAGTCTTCATGGCCATGCCAGCACATGGGGGTGAAGCCTGGAGTCTTCATGGCCATGCCAGCACATGGGGGTGAAGCCTGGAGTCTTCATGGCCATGCCAGCACACGGGGGTGAAGCCTGGAGTCTTCATGGCCATGCCAGCACACGGGGGTGAAGCCTGGAGTCTTCATGGCCATGCCAGCACACGGGGGTGAAGCCTGGAGTCTTCATGGCCATGCCAGCACACGGGGGTGAAGCCTGGAGTCTTCATGGCCATGCCAGCACACGGGGGTGAAGCCTGGAGTCAGTGTGGCCATGCCAGCACATGGGGGTGAAGCCTGGAGTCAGTGTGGCCATGCCAGCACATGGGGGTGAAGCCTGGAGTCAGCGTGGCCATGCCAGCACATGGGGGTGAAGCCTGGAGTCAGTGTGGCCATGCCAGCACATGGGGGTGAAGCCTGGAGTCAGTGTGGTCATGCCAGCACACGGGGGTGAAGCCTGGAGTCTTCATGGCCATGCCAGCACATGGGGGTGAAGTCTGGAGTCTTCATGGCCATGCCAGCACATGGGGGTGAAGTCTGGAGTCTTCATGGCCATGCCAGCACATGGGGGTGAAGCCTGGAGTCTTCATGGCCATGCCAGCACACGGGGGTGAAGCCTGGAGTCAGTGTGGCCATGCCAGCACATGGGGTTGAAGTCTGGAGTCAGTGTGGTCATGCCAGCACACGGGGGTGAAGTCTGGAGTCAGTGTGGCCATGCCAGCACATGGGGTTGAAGTCTGGAGTCAGTGTGGTCATGCCAGCACACGGGGGTGAAGCCTGGAGTCAGTGTGGCCATGCCAGCACCTGGGGTTGAAGTCTGGAGTCTTCATGGCCATGCCAGCACATGGGGGTGAAGCCTGGAGTCAGCGTGGCCATGCCAGCACATGGGGGTGAAGCCTGGAGTCAGCGTGGCCATGCCAGCACATGGGGGTGAAGCCTGGAGTCTTCATGGCCATGCCAGCACATGGGGTTGAAGTCTGGAGTCAGCATGGCCATGCCAGCATCAGGCATCAGCGGTGAGGAGAGCCGAGCTGATGCCATCGCTGTGCAAACACACTTGAGCACATCGCGACACTGGGAAGGCTCTCTCCAGCGGCCGGTGCCACACTCCTGGGCTTCATGGCTTCTAGAACAATAAGGATCATGTGCCCTCACAAATGACAAGGCTGAAGGCGCACAACGCACCCATGACAGCAGGTTAAGAAGGAAACAGGCAATGCAGTGTCCACATAAGGGTAGGCCAGTGTTGTGGCCAGCATTCCACAGAGCCCCTTGGGCCTTGCTTCCTACCTGCTCGTTAGCTTCTGTCCCAACAGCCAAGCATCCTCCTGACCTCTCTGCCTTCCCCAGCTCGCTGTCTCTGGAGGCCATGTTCACACTGCTCCCACAGGTCACAGCTCTGGGCACACCCAGGGCCCACACGCATGCTCGGCCACTCAAGGGTCACAGACCCTCCCTGTGGACACTGTATCTGTTGCAGGAGGCACGGACCATCACCTGGGGATGGCCTGCAATGTGCATGGCTGATGAAAACACCCCGCTATTCCAGAGGGACTTGGACACACCCAGATTGTGGTGTCAGCAGGGATCCTGTGTGGTGCGTTGCTAACCCAGCGTGATACATGAGGCCGCTGCTTGGGAATAGCCGCTGATCTGCACAGGTCTGGGCAGCGACTTAGAGCACGTGGAAGTCCTGGCAGAAGCGGAAGGCTGGGCCGCGATGCAGACAGACTGCTGGCCGACCCGTTGTGGCGATCAGCCCTCTGTTGGGGTGACAGCTCTGTTCCTCCTGCACCCCACTTCAGGCACTGGTCTTTGCTTTCTAGCTCAGAGATGCCTGGTATAGGGGTGGGCCAGACAGAACAAGTCGAACTTGGGCCTGGAGGTGGTACTCTCTGAGTTCCATGAGAAGCCTGGGTGATGCAGGCATGGGTCCCCACAAACTTGTGCAGGAGACTTCAGGGGATCTGGGCTCTGGCCCCAACCAGGCTGCATTTTCCCACTGTCCAAAGCAGCCTGCCCACAGGCAGAGGCGGAAGGAGCCAGAGAGAGACTCCCCCCGGGGATGAGAAAGACCCCTACTTCCCAAGCACGGGCGCAGAACCCAGAGGCTGTGTTCAGACTGACAATCAGTGCCCTCAGAGACGGTGGGCACATGCGTGGACATCACACAGGACAAATGCCATCTCCGGGCTTGCGTGATTATGCTCCACTGTATACAATGAGCGTATCCAGATTACTTGCCTATTTAACAGGTACTTTGTGACACGTTTTTCTCTATAAACATTGGTATGCACGCAAGCACACCATGCACAGGACACCAGGGACAAAGCCGTGCCCAGGAGCAGAGGGGCCAGCAGCAGAGAAGCAGGGGAGAGTGCTGCCTGGGGGAAGGGACATCAGAGTCAGTGGGCACAGAGCACCCCCCAAGGCACACAGGGGCTGGGAGAACAGGCAGGAGCGGACACTGGGTGTCCAGGCCTTGGACCCAGAGGAAATTACCCTCTGCAGGACATGGGCCGAACTAGCAAAGAGCGCTCGGTGAAGCAGGCAGTGGAGTTGCCTGTGTGGGACGGACTGCCCTTCCGTACAGCCTGGCGGAACGGCCGGGCAGGCAGATGAGGCGAGCGCCCTTGAGCGAGCACCCACGCAGGTGTCCCGGTGGCCAGGCCAGGCTAAGTTCCAGCCCCGGCTTGTGCGTATTTCTGACAAACTCCCAGATGCTGCAGAGTCCTGGGAGTCGCACTACATTTCCCACGTAGATAAACGCGGCGCCACCCTGGTCACTGAGGACCTGACCTCAGACCTGGTCCTCGGCCCGCGCCCCCCTGCTCACAGCCGGTCCGCCAACCTTACACCGAAGGCCCTTCCGGGCGCCAGGTGGTTGCCCAGCTCTGCCCGACTCGGGCCGGCGACTCTGGTACCGAGACGAGCACACCGCCTTCGGGAGCCCAGCGGCTCGAGCACCCTCGCGGCGGCCGTCCGCCCGCTCGCCCAGCGACCCCGGCCGACGCGCGCGGCCCAGCCCGGCCCTGGCGGGCGCGCGCGGGGCGGAGGCGGCGCTCGGGGGGCGCGGCGCCGTCGGGGCGGGGGCTCGGCGCACCTTGCTCCGGGCGCCCCCGCCCCGCGCCGCCGGCCCCTCCCCGCGCGGCAGGCGCCCCCGCCCGCCCGGGACGCTCCCAGGCCCGGCCGCCCTTTCGGCCCGGCCGCTGTGCTCGCCAGGCTCGCGTGGGAGGACGATGGGTCAGCGCGGAAAAAGTGAATGAGGCCGGCGGCCGCGGCCAGTGCCTAGCCCGGCCGGCCCGCGCCATGGACGCGCAGCGCGCCTCGGCGGCCAAGCCCCCGAGCGGGTAAGCGGCGGCCGGCCGGCGGGGTCTGGCCGGCTGCTGGGGTGGAGACGGAGCGGGCGGCGGTGCGGGAGACGGCGAGCGCGCCCGGTGAGCTTCGGGCGCCCGGGTCGTCACCCAGGCAACCGAGTCAGCCGGGCTGGGCGCGCTCTTTGCGGGGCTGGGTGCGCGCGCGAGACCTTTGGGGATCCCCAGCGCGCAGGACTGCCCGTGCGGGTCTGCGCCGACTGCTCAGGAAGCTGCGGGACCCTGGGCGCTCGACTCGGGCCGCGTGGCCGAGCTGCGGCTGCCGGCGTCGCTCTCCCCTCCCTGGCCACGGAAGCTGCCCACGGGCCTCTGTCGCCCGCGCAGTCAACGGGAGGATCCCGGGCCCCGAAGGCCACCTTGGCGTCGCGCGACACCGACGCGCTTCCCAGGTCTCCTTGCCCTCGGCGTCAGGTGCGCGAGCTGGGCCTCAGGTGCAGAGCCCAGCTGAGCTGAGCCCAGCGCCGCCTTCGCCGCTGCGGCGATCCCACTTCCGCGGAGCCCTTCCTGGGGTCAGGTAGCGGTGCCTGCACCGGGCGTGTACGAACCACGCGTCACAGTCTGGATTCTGCCGGCAAAAACAGTGACTTCCCCCCGTGGGACAGACAGCCAAAGCTCTGAATTCAGACTCGCAGCCGGTTGCGGCCATGAGGCTCCGCACCAGGCCTCGGGCCCCCGCGCAGTCCGCTCGTCCCGGGCGGACCTTCGACCTCCGCGCAGGCCCTGAGCGGGCGGCCGGGTTCTGAGTCGTGCAAATGGAATGAGGGCGTGGGGTGGGTCCTGCACCTGCTGCCCCCGCAGCTCGCGGAGGACAGCTCGCCCCTCTCCGGTGGGGCCCCAATGACTCAAGCTGAGAGCTGAGAGCTGTGCAGCAGAAAGTTTGTGAGCTGTGCGAACTGGCCCTTTTAAAAACTTTCCCTTTAATGCCAGGAAAAAGTGAGCCAGGTTAGCAAATCAAATAATCCTGACCTTGGAATGTTGAACTTTTTTTTGCAATAGGCTTAGTGGTGGTTATGTAATTCTCTCTGAACTAACTGATCTCCCATAAAGAACCCAAATGCAGGAAGTCCTTTTTCATGCTAATGGGCATCCCCAAATGCCTGGGAAATCCAAACCCCGGTAGCCTTGAATCTGTAGCTTCCACCAGTGAAATGCGTTCCTTTGAGGAGCCCCAAGTGTTTGGCCAGTGCCCTTGTAAATAATATGCAGGAACATTGAAGAGGCTGGCCGCGCTGCGTCCCAAGGTGTGGAGGGGTGGGAGGAGTCCTTGTGAGCCGGGCTCTTTCCCGCCTGGTGCGGGGAGGGGAGGTAAGCTCTGGGCTGCCTTCCTCCCCAAAGGAGAGCCCAGACCATGCCCAGCGCCAGTCCCTGCTGCTCCCGCGCCTTGTCTGAACAGCGTCCAGGCAGTGTAGACAGACCGCTCCTGGCGTCTGTGTGTTGACACTTCTAGGGGGAGGGCATCGAGAGGCTAGAAAATGAGTGAGCAGTGGAAAAGAGTCAGTACCGTGCTGCCCTGCTGGAGCAGCTATGCAGTTAATAAAGGACACCAATGGTGCTGCTGTCTCAACGTTCTGTGTTGTTGGGCTGTGTGTGTGATTTGCCTGTCACAGGAGGCGGGGTGCTGACTGACGTTTCTGGCTGAAGCACCTCGGGGGCAGTGGAAATCCGGCTTCCTCTCTCCTCATCAGCCTGCTTGTCAGGGTGTCAGGCAGGGTCTGCCCCAAGTGCAGTGCCCGCACCCCAGGGAGCAGCATGGCCTGGCTGGAGCTGGGTTGCCGTGCCCGCGCTCCAGGGAACAGCATGGCCTGGCTGGAGCTGTCACAGCTGGGTGCAGTGCCCGCGCCCCAGGGAGCAGCATGGCCTGGCTGGAGATGTGTCACAGCTGCTACCTCATTCTGGAAGAGGGAGCAGAGTGCACAGTGTGAACTAGGGAGATCTTTCAAAGGGAGCCAGAACTTGGGACCCACTGGGGTCTCCCAGCCTCCCCGCTGGATCTGTCTCCTAGCCTCCTGGAGGCCCAGAGCAGTTGGGGCGTGTGTGTTCCATGGTTGCTTGGGACTCACAGTTCAGCCTCTCTTACACTGAAGCTGTGTGTCTGTGTTAATATGATTGTTAAAACAGTGACTGTGATGGCTTTGCTGTGCGCAGAAACTGATGGGTCAGACCTGCTATGACATAGGGAGTCTTAGAGCTCCTCCAAAGTGCAATAACTGACAGAATATTCTAGAACTCCAAGACACTTGCCATTGGATGAAGTTGTAAAAGAGATCTGAAGTCTGTACTGGGAGCTTGTCTGTTCACCTTTCCTGTGTCGCCCTCAGCATTGGTGGGTCCTTCCCGCCGTGGGGCCCCGTCTCCCTCTGGGCCTGACAGAGCGTTTGGAGCCTGCCAGGTGATGCTTCCTTTTTTCCAGTATTCCCCATGGGAGAAGCACATATTTCTGTAGAACAGTCTCCAGAGATGTGCATGACAGAGCAGCTGGCGTGTCTGACCAGCGGCTCCGTGAAAGCGGTTGTCTTCAGGAGACGCCAGCCCAGGTTTGCTGGGTGGCTTTGTTGGAATGCGATCTTCCCGCAGGCGCGGCTGTTACTCATTTCCCGGCATAAATTTGTGTTTATTTAATCATGTTGTGAGACGAAAGTGGTTTGAGATAAAAGCAGCTTGCGCTACCGTCGCTGCATAGGGTGGAGTAGTGTAGGGGCCACCGCATGACACCTGCCACCCAGCCTGGCAGTACAGAAGTGAAGGGCGTAGGAATAGCTCCTCGGAGCGCCAAGTTTGGCTTCCTACGCCCTTTTGCCTTTTTTGGCTGACATGTCCGAGAATGGGGTTACATACTTCCAGACGTAAGTTTGTATCTTGTTTAACCGAAACATTAAAATTTTCACACTGCTTGAGCTGTGTTTTTTTTTTCTAAAGATGTATTTATTTTTATTACAAAGTCAGATACACAGAGAGGAGGAGAAACAGAGAGGAAGATCTTCGTCTGATGATTCACTCCCCAAGTGACTGCAACGGCCGATGCTGTGCCGATCCGGAGCCAGGAACTTCCTCCAGGTTCCCCCACACGGGTGCAGTCCTCGACTGCCTTCTCAGGCCACAAGCAGGGAGCTGCAAGGGAAGTGGAGCTGCCAGGATTAGAACCGACGCCCATATGGGATCCTGGCGTGTTCAAGGTGAGGAGTTTAGCTGCTAGGCCACGCCGCCGGGCCCTGAGCTGTGTTTTTAAAGGTGTCTGAGGTACTTCTGGCCTTTTGTGTAAGCGTGGAAGGATTGAGCATGGCTTATGGTGAAGTGGAAGGTATCCTTATGGATTTTATTCTTTTTTATTATAATCGTTATCAGTAACAGGATTTAGGTATTTCCTGCCACAGTATCAAACAGTCTGAACATTTGTAGTGTTCCTCAGTGGTTGGATAAGGATGGTGGAATTAAAGCATAGTTAAAATTTGGTCTCAGGGTGCTTTTTAACTGTGTTCCTCCTGCCTTTAGGAGCTCAGCTTTCAGCCCCTGTGAGGTTTTCTTCTCATGACCTTGTCCCGTGCACAGGTAGAATGGATTGTTGGGTAGGACTGGGAGCCAGCCGGTGATGGCATCCACACACCTCCATTCCCTGGTCCTCTTGCATTGATTCGGCGAGCTGAGGCTTCTAGTCCGCTTGCTTCAGAAGGAAATCCTTCTGCAAGCCTTACTTGGCTTCCCGCAGGTTGAGGCCAGTGGAGCAACCAACGTGCAAAACCACTGTTTGAGTCTGGCTGAATCCTGTGGTGCGTTTATTGCATCCCAGGCACTTCCCGTCCATGACACAGGAGTTGGGATTCTGCAGCAGGCACTTCTCCTTGTGTTTCCTCTTTGCTTTGCAAGACGCATGGTGGGTAGGTCGTCGCCGGTGGGTGGGTTGTCCTCACCACGACAGAGGTGATGGTGATAATTACCCCTAAGGTCTGATGCCATCGATTCTGCACACTCCGGCACGACAAGGTGGCACTGGGTCCCCGGCCGCATGTGTGTTTTCTGTGGTGTGGTCTGGCTGGACACCTGCGCAGCAGACACCGCTCCGTGGTCCTGAGGGTTCCGATTCTTTATTCTGGTCTCCTTCGTCAGGTGGTGAGCTGTGGCTTGCCAGGACCCTGTTTCAGGCCAAGACCAGTTAGAACAAGCTCCCCTGCCAAGAACATTTCCATTACTAGAATGAAAAATGAAAGAAAAGGCTTTTCCAGCAGCTGTCAAAGTGTATTTCCCTCGGCCCCATTTGATGAGGCAGATCCCCAGACTATAAACACGTGTGCACAAATCCTTCTGCAGGTGCACTCCGACCTCCACCAACCCCAGTGCTCTTGGCGAAAGCACGTGGATGCTGTTGACATGTTTCTCCCTTGAAAGAGTTCAAGTTCCCAGAGAGACCAAAGAGAAGACAGGCTTACCTGTCTCTCCTGCTTTTCTAACCAGTCACCCCATCCTCGCCCCAGTCTTCACCACCTGACACCAGGTGAGGGGCCTTGGCCTGAAGGAGTTTCCCATAGCTTTCCAGCAAAGGTACAAGGGCACCTGCTGTGGTTTCTCCCGGGCACCTGGGTGTGCTCACCCTCTGTGGGCCAGGCAGGGTATTCTGCCTGACTTTTCCCTATCAAAGGCAGTCCAGAGGGGAAGTAGAAAGAATGCTGGCATGAGATTTGGGTCTCTCTGCCACACAAGATTGCCTTTGCCCTCTAACCGTGGCTCCTGACGTGGGCCTGGTCCACATGTCCACAGAACTTTCCACTAGGACCAAGCATCCTCCCTCTCCCTGAGTGCTACTCAGTGGATGATAGAGTGAGGATTTGGGTGAGGAGAACCTTGTGAGGCCTGAGAAGAGACGTGAGAGCTGAGGGGAGGGAGGCCCCCCTGAGGGGAGGGAGGCTGAGGGGAAGAGGCTGGGGAGAGCTGAGGGGAGGAGTGGCAGGAGCTGCCTTCTGTATGAATTGAGGGCGTGTCAGCTG